CTTCCAGAGAGTGTTGATTCTGCATCAATAAACTGATATGAAACTACAAAAACTCATCTCAAGTAAAAAAAAATAACAAAAAATATGTGAAAATAACATGCCAGCAGGTTTAGAATGGAGAACTAGAATGCAAAACTATTTAAAAGAAAAAAAAAAAGCCTAAAAGTGATTAAAATCAGTTATGAACACATGGTGTTTATTAGATTAAAAAAATAAAATAAATCTGTGAAAAATAACATGCCGGCCGGTTTCGAATGCAAAACTATTTTTAAAAAAAACACAAAACAAAACAAAACAAAACAAACAAAAAACTCTAGAAATAATTAAATTCAGTTATGAAAACGTTGTTTATTAGATTTTTTTAAAATGCAGCTCTGGAAGTGCTTTTAATGTGACAGCGCGCACGGAAGTGCCCGCGGAGACACACCCGCGCGCTTCACTCTGATTGGTGGACGTCGAGGTGCAGCTCGCGCCGCTTCAGACAGCTCGCAGACAGGACGGCGGCTCACGTGCGGACGGTAACATGCAGCTGACGGACCGGAGGAGGCTCGCGGGGCTGCTGTCTGTCGTTTAACACCGGAGCAGCGCGAGAAGGAGGCAGAGGAGGAGGAGGAGGAGGAGGAGGAGGATGAAGAAACACCTGAGTCCCACCAAGCAGCAGCAGCAGCAGCAGCCGCCGCCTGACGTCCCGGCGGCGGCTCCGGCGGCTCCTCCGGGCGGCTCGGTGTCCGTCCAGCAGCTGAACGAGCTGCTGTCGGACGGCAGCGGCTTCTACAGCCTCCCGACCCAGCACTTCAACGAGGTGTTCCCGCGCATCTTCATCGGCAACGCGTGAGTCACTCGGCTTTCTGCTCATGTTAACAGTTATACCGACGGCGGTGAGTCGTGTCAAACATGGAGTCCGGCACCGACAGGTGGCACCGGCAGGTTGGCGCCGGGGACAGCCGTGTCGCAGGTCCTGCAGGGCGGCGTGTTGTTGTGGCGCCTCCGCTCTCATCATGGACGCGCCGAGCGAGCGACCGCCTGTTGTTGTCAACAAATAACCTCCAGGAGCAGCCGGCAGCCGCACAGGTGGAGGTTGTGTAACCCACAAAGATGCTGCTGCTGCTGCTAATAATAATAATGATAATCACAATAATAATAATAATAATAATGATAATCACAATAATAATAATACTAATAATGATGGTGACTATAGTGATAATAATAATAACACCGGGGACACTGCTGCGTCCGTCATCAGCGTCACAAACGGATCCGTGAAGGACACTCAGGTTCCACTCAGCGGGTCCTCCATCATCACGTCCTCAGCCAGCCGCTCCCATCCAGTCCGCCGGCTGCAGGACTCCGCACAGCCCAGAAACCATCCTTCATTTGATTCACAACATGCGTCCAGGTCGTTGTTCTCCAAATAGAAGAACCGAGGAAGCGTTTATACCGAGCAAAAAAATCCAGTAAATGTAGAGCAGCAGAGTCATGACATGTGGGCAAGAAACTGAACAAAACACCGTCTAATGCTGTGAGAACAGCGTCTGAGGAGAAGATGATTAAAAGTTATGATGTGAAACTGCAAAAATCTGATTCCAAACTGACAGAAGGTGACGAACAAAACGGATCAAATGTCTTTGTAGAAGTGCAAAAACAAATCTGAAACTGAAAACATTGAACCTGTTTGGGCTGCAGGGACTCCTCACATCCCTACAAAAATAGCTTTATTTGTCTGGTTTTCATCCTCGAAATGCTTTTGATTCTTCGTCATTCCATCCAAACCCAATCTGAGGCAAAACACTGGTTTATATGAGCAAAGAGATGCAGTCAGTGTGGAGCAGAGAGTGATCTAAAATCACAAGAACAGCGTCTGAGGGGAAAATAATGAAAAGTTATGACGTGAAACCTCAAAAAGAATATTCCAAACTGACGAAAATGACATAAAAAATCCCAACAGAAGTGCAAAAATGATCTGCAACACACAAGAGTGTAAAAACAACGGGACTGGAAATGGAAAATAAAATGTAATTTCAAACCAAAAAGATCAAAAACAGACGTGAAGCTGAAGAAACGAGGTCCAAAATTTAAAAAAAAAAAAAAAAAAAAATCTAAAATTGTTAAAATGAGACGTGAAATTGAAAAAAACTTCTACGAAACTGTTAAATTAAGTTCTGGAGCTGAAATTCTGACGTAAAACTGTAAAAACTGAAACGTGTTTTTCACAAAATGCATTCAGTTCTTAGTTTTTTATGTGTTCTTTTTCTTTTCTCTATAATTTTTCCTGAAGAAACAGCAATTGTGGAGCAGAGAGGTAAAAAAAAGCACTTAAATTCATGAGGCATCAATACTTTAAAAATGAAATAAAAAATCAGTACCAAGTTCTTTGTGATGATAAATCTGTTGTCAGGACAAAAGTGCAGCGATTAGAAAATAACCAATTAACTGTTTACTTGATAAACAACAACGTAAAAAAAAAAGACAAAAAAAGACAAATGTTCAGTTCAGACAAAGAAAAACAGTAAATCTGCAAATTTAGCTGCAAGTAGGCGACACGTTAGGACGTTTTGAAGATCGATTAATTGATTAGTTGGCTAATATTTCTAGCTCTTCTGTGCTGATAATGAAATGTGTCAACTTCTGTGAACTGTCTGCTGCAGAAGTTTTGGTTTAGAGAACAACACAGGTCCCACAAACTGATTTAACATCTACTGAAGGTTTACTTGGTTCCAAACCGACCAACACTGGAGCTGCAACCGTTGATCGATCAGTCGTCAATTAAGAAAGCTGAAGAGCCACTGTTTTGATAAATGAATAGTCAGCTTGAGTTTTTTAAAAAAGAAAGAAAAAAAAAAAAAGTCTACAATCTGTTTTTAGCTCGTTAAATGGGAATATTTTCTGGTTTTCTACATTTTTTTTCAAAGCAAACAAAACAGGAAAAATCTATAAAATAAGTACATACAAAATAAAAAAACAAAAAACTATTCCTTAATATACAGATTTTTTCTTTCAAATAACGGTAAATATCTGTTAAATATTTATATTTTTGGATGATTTAAATTATATAAAACTTTATGGTCAAACATTGCAAAAGAACAAATTTCATTTTTTTTTATTAAAATGTAGATTTTTCTGTTATGGACATTATTTACAGTTTAAAAAATAAATGTAAACATATTTTCCAGGGATTTTTCTATCCCTACAAAACTGGAAAAATCTGTAAAACAACAGTAAATTATTGAAAAAAAGTACTGTTTATTTTTTTGTTTGTATTTTTCAGGTTGTCGAAGCAGCTCAGGCTCCGAAATTGTTTTATT